AAAACATAATTTTGTATTACAACAAAAAATAAGAAATCAAAAACTATATTTTTTTATTTTTTATTTATTTTCTTTTTTTTTTATTTTTTTTTTTTTTTTTTTTTTTTTTTTTTTTTTGTTAAGTTCTTTTTTCTCACCTCCATATCTGTACCGTATAGGGGTGGTATAACGAACGGTGGATTTCTCTCTTTTATATATTGAAATATTTTCTCGTCATTCTTTATAAATTCTATTTTATATAGTTCATCTTCTGGAACACTGTGATTACAGTAGAGCGTTACCGTACTGCTACGGTTAACGTAACGTGGTGCAATTAATTGCACCTGCACCACACAAGTCGCATCTAGAAAAAATATTATTTATTACAAGCTTCATTCATCTTTTATCTTATATAATCATTATTAATGATAAATTACGAATTAATATTATTTCATTCATAAATACTTATATATATATATGTCTAGAAAAAAAGATAGAAAAATATTTTCGATATAATTAGGGTCGAATTTGTCTAACTCTTGATGCATCAATGTAATCGCAAAGAAATTATTATTACACTTTTATACGATTTTTTTTTTTTTTTTTTTTTTTTTTTTTTTTTCTAGATACAAATCGATGTCGATTAAAAGACGATAATCTTGTTAACCGAATAAAAAATAGTATATAAAAATAAGATAATTTTTTCATTGATGAAATAATGTCTAAGTCGATTATAACGACTTGCGGTGGTGTCCTGTTGCTGGGAGGTGTTACCGTATCGATCACAGGAAACGCGTGTTACGTACGTAAGTAATACACATTGGATATTATTAAAAGACAATCAAGATATTCTGTGAAAACAGTAAACATATCTATTTACGTCAATTTTATAATGTTACGATACAAATATTAACTCAAGTTAAAAAATGAAGATTTTCTTGAACATCGATGAAATGGTTACATCGATCAATAATTATATCTATGGGATACATTTTTTTTATCTTTTTTCAAAATTAAACAGTAGATTTTGAATAAACTTAATTAACGAGATATCTTATAAAAGATAATTAACATGCAATCTGATAAGAAAAATTAACTCGATAAATTATAAATATAAATATAATATTAATGCGTGTGTGAGACCCATAGTCACAATTTTCCCGTCAATATTTCTATCTATTATCTCATTTTTATTTGATTTTATTTATTCTGTTTTCTTTTTTTTTTTTTATTCATCATGTAAAATGATTAGATACATTGCATAGAATATAATGAAGCTCATATAATGAAGAATATAATTAATTAGTGATATTTAATATTATGAAAAATGATAATAATATAAGCTTTTTAAAATGTAGTTTATTGGAGTGTTATATAACTTACGTGAGAATAATTGTACAATATTTAAGAATACGACTTTTTTCCAGTGGGCAAATGAACGCGGCATTATTGCAGGATATGTATATATATATATATATATATATAAATATATATATATACGTGTATATATATGTATATATATATATATATATATATTTGGAGATATGTATAAGAAAATTATTATTTATTTAATTTGTGTTTAATCTTTTCCCTCTTAATTTTTTAAATTTTATTAGTTTATTTTCTTTTGCTTAATAATTCTACTTTGACTGCTTATTATACGAAAAAGTGCGCCTATGTTATATAATATATGTGCCTTTAAACTACACAAACTTCGTGCGGAGTCGTCGCTACAACTGACATACTACATTCGATCGTTCAACCGACCTCCATAGACTACAAAACATAGAGTGGAAGCTTGCTACATAATGAATTTATGGCAAAAATATGTATACATATGTAGATTATTTTTTTTATGCTGAAACATTTATTTCTTCTATCATATATTCATGTATTTTGTTATTCTATTTAACCTAACAAAAATATATTTTTATTTTATTTCAATTTCTATGAGACTTAAATACATATATATATCATAGAGATTAACAATCAAATTATTTTACTTTTTGTGTTTTATTGATTACTATATTAATAACATTTTTTATTTTTTCAATTTAATATTTCCATTAGTTGAATTGAACAGATCCCTTGTCCTGCATCACACACACACTTTCTCTTCTGTTTTTTAAATTTCGATACTATCATTACTATAAATATTTTCTTCAACCAATTTGAAATTTGTTTTGTATATATAGATGGAATCGTTGTTATAAATTGGAATATATGAAATTATGTAATTCTTTCTTTTTTTCTATATAATAAGTAAATATTATTGAAAAATAAACGTTTGTATCAATTTGCATGAAAGTGATACTGGGTAAAATTTTAACGTAAATCTATAATAGCGCCATCTATAAATTCTTGACTGAGAAATGGAACTAATTATTACCGCCAATTTTGAATTCAATTTTATTGTTCTTATTTTTTTTCCATTAATTAATATATTATAATGTTTAAAAATAATAATAAAATACTTAACAGTTAATCAATTTTCATACTTGATAACGTAATAATATGGAAATGAAGTAAATAATTCTTAAAAGAATAGTTTCTGTGGCTTATGTTTATTACCAATCTCCAACAAAAGTCAAATGGTATATCCCTAGTATTGTAAATTCTAAATCTCTCTATGTGTAATGATAATAATAATACGTGAAAGCCTCAATGATTCTGTCAGCGAAGTACAAAATGTAGAAAATGTATTTGAATTGTTTAAAAAGTCTAATATAAGCTACGTCAATATGGATAACAGAGTTTATTCATCGATACGACGTGAAATGACACGGGATGAGTGTAGAAAATGTTTACGCTATCTAGGTAAGATTACAATAAAAATAACTATTTTCTTTAATAAGTAATAATTAATAAACCCGCTTGTCTATATTTTATCTTAGCATAATTTGTTCCCTTTTCAATGAATATGCTTTATTAGCTCGTTTTTGTCTTATTTTTTTCAACTAACTGCTTTACTTTCAACGTTAAATAGCTAAATGGCACAAAATGATTTTGATGATTGAGAATTATAGAATTTTGTTTTATTTAATTTTATTTATGAAGAAATTTTCTTGGAATTTTTTTCCATTGTACTACATGTTACATGTATATTTTATGTTAATTATACATACATATACGCATCTCTAATTTAATATCTGTAATATTACTATGGCATTGAATCGTAAATATTTCAATAATGAAAATTATAAAATTATTAGTAAAATTCCAAATGTATTCAATTGTATAAGAATATAATGATTTAATAAAATTTTTGATTGTACAGAATTAGATGCTTATGGGAATATGGTATCGGTCTTACGTGCTCAAGGAATTTTAACTAGTAGCAAACAAAGATTACTGCAAGAACTTGCTAAAATTCTTCATATATCTAACGAAAGACATCGTGCTGAAGTACGTAGAGCTGTTAATGATGAGAAACTCACAATGATAGCCGAGCAGTATGTATCTATTTATATGAATTTGTTGTCTTAGTAATATGTAGTAAATATAATTGATTTAATATAAAACAGGTTAAACGGACCAAATACTGCTATAGATTGGATCATGGAAGGCCGTCGTTCAACTCCACTTTTACCTAGATTGAAAGCACGAAATGCTTTTACAATGTTAGCAAACAGTCTATCATTTGCAACCACGCATGCGAATGACAATAATCCAGTCGAAGAAAACAAGGAGGAAGATAAAGGTGGTCTATTATATCGAATGGATTATATTATTTTTTTAAATGAAAGAATTAACATGAAGCCTACTCCGCTTAGAATTGCTACTTCAAAATAATTTTTTTGTTTAACAGTTTGTAGAAAATCTTTAATCTCAAGATTATATGATCTTGGGATGGTGATGTAGTTATGGATACATTTTTGTTCTATCCATTTTATTTTGGTGAAGCCATTAAGTTGACCTTCCTTTGTTTAATATTATGCTACTTCTTTTTATTATGAAAATTGTAAAGAAGTCGTAATTGCGTACAACCATAAAGAACTGGTCAGTTGTTAGTTTTTTGTGTAATATTATTTGGAGTGTCTTTTAAATTCATATTTTTTACTTCTACATTTCATTAATCTCCAAATGTTTATTTTAAATCAGATATACTAGATGAATCCAAGGTATGTTTGAAAATTGAAAAAATATCATCAATTGAAGCAGGATCATGTAATGCTCAAGCAACCGTCAACTGTAGAAAAAGATCTATACACGATACAAATAAGGTGTCTGTCAGTTTTATAATAATATTTTAAGTGTTACCTATTCTTAAAATGGTGAAAATAAAGCAAATACTATATTATAGGTACTAAATATTGATAAGGATCAAGAAAAAAGGCCTATAAAAATTAAATACCAAGATATTCAACAAGTTAACTCTACCAAACAAGATATTTCTTCGTTTTCACCACCACACAATAAGGTTTTTTTTATTTCATATATATTTTAATCTGACCTTTTACAGACAATATCCAACTATTTGCATGTTTAAAGTTGATTCAATCATATAAATATAAAAAGTCATATAATTATACAGGTATTGGTGTTATCTTCTAATTCATTGGACACATTGAATCATGCTAATGAGAATGAAACATTACTCGAAGCTGAAATGGAGCAAAGCGAAACAACGATTTCACAGCACCAAGGTGTTACTCTTATCCCACTCTCTGTGATGTGTGCAGGATCTAGTCTAATAGGTTTATAAATATTTTTTATCTTTATTAAGCCATCTTTTTTTAAGTATTTTATATATATTTAATATTTATTTCTTTTTTCTTTGTATATTTTTATAACAGCACCTTCGAAGGATGTACTGTCAGAGAGTACAAATACTTTGGTACCCGTTCATTCAACCATTAATTGTAATACAAAAGTTACTACTTGTGCAACTAATTCCACCAAGAATAAAGATAAAACAACAGTACAAAATAAGATTAATACAAGATTACCAGTAAATACTGGAACATTAGATAGTTTATCACACATCAGAAATAGTGACACACAATCGGAAAATCAAGATATACAATTAGGTGTGGTATATATTATTTTCTCTAATAATTATTTAATATCCCTTAATAATTCTTTTAATAATTCTCTAATAAAATTATAAATTCTTTTTTATGATAACGATATATTTGTATTTATTTTATAGCACCAACTTCAAAATCAGAGGTAGCAAATTTAAATCCTTGTGTTAAAAATTTACCAACGACAGTGCAAGCTAACGTGAAAACTGTTTCATCTATTAAATCTGCTATATCAAGTATGTATTTACAAAATTGAAGAATACTATATGTATATACATATATAGTTCATTTTTTCTGTATTAAGTAATATAATTTTTTATAGCTTGTGCACGATTTACAGCTCCTGGAACTATGGTATCAAGCGGTCCTGGCCCACCTAGTGTTAAATCTGTGGTAACAACTTTAGCATGTAAAAAATTGCCAGTTGCGATTATCAATCAATCTACTGCTAAAATGGTATGTATTAAGACAATACCAAATATATTTATGCATATATGCATCCAATATATATATATACATGATACATAGATATAGTTATATTTATTTTACAGCGTGTGACATTAAATTCTGATAAAACTGTAAATATAACTAATCATCCTAATAAAAAATTAACAACTAAGACTAATGTAATAGTAATACAAAAAGGAAGTAACAAAGGCATAATGCTGTCTCATGCAGGCAAGGTATTTTATCTTATTGTAATTAAATCCTTTAATTTTTTTGTTAATAATATATATAACCACATAATAAAATTAACAATGTATTATTCTTTTTAGGAAGTATTAGGTAAAGTAATAATGGGAGGAAAGAAATTATCGGTATCAAATCAACAAAATTCAAGTACGGTTAACATTTTACCACATCCTATTAATTTAGATAATTGCAATCAAACATCAACAATGCTAACAGCTACGCATGTGGAAACTATGAAAACAAATATAAAGGTATAAAAATTTAATACGTATTCATATTTGTTTTCGATTGAAAATGTAGTTTTTTCTTTTACCATATAAATTTTTTATTTCTAAATTTGTCGCAAGATATTGTTCATGTACCCTTTGCAGGAAGAAAAGTAAACTATATATATACAGCATCGTAGCACATCTCACTTTTTATTAAATAATAATAATAATAATAATAATAATAATAATAATAATAATAATAATAATAAATGTTATAAATATAATTCAATATTTTTTTCACTATAATAATGAATTTATTTAATAAAAATGGCAATATAGTGTATAAGTAATCGCTTATTACAGGAAAGAGATAACAATGAAGTGCATTTAAAAGATACTGGATCTTCTTTCAAAATTAACAGTTCAGTTAATGCATTAGAGGAAACAGTATGTAGGTAAGAATACAATTATAATTAATCAAGAAAACGTTAAAAATTAATTGTATAATTCTTTATTGATTAATAATATTTGTTTGATATAGAAAATCTAAAGAAGTCTGCAAAGAAGTTAATTCTCAAGTAGTAAATATTACGAATCTTAAAAAACTTAAAAGAAATGAAGAAGACCGTACATATTTTAAACCATTTACTCAAGGTAAGCTTTGGTATCAAACGAATGAACTTTTTATTATGATTTAATGTATCGTTATTTGAAAAAAAGAAAATCATCATTAGCATGCTATTATAAAAAACTGTTTTCCATTTATATTGTAATACGCATTCAATTATTTTATATAAGTGCTTTATATTTATAATTTACAATGAATCCTTGTATGTATTTTTGGATGATATTTGTACAAGATTAAAAAGATCATATTATCTTATGTTTAGATAATTCTCCAAATAATCTACAGAGGGAAGATTCTCTTTGCAGTATGGAAATGAATGCAAATATATTTGAAAATGGATTTCAATCGACTGACATTAACTTAGAAAATTTTGAGTGCCTGGTGGAAAATGGTGATCATATCCCGGAAAATAAAAACAATTCGATATCTATTACCTATAAAAAAAACCCGAGTGATTCGTAGTAGCAAATTAATCTCGAAAATACATTTTTTCAATGCTATAATACAAAAAAGGCTCATGTGATGATTTATAGTTTCGAGAACATACATTTTATAAGAACATATATATATATATATATATAT